TACAGCAAAGCCATGATTGGTCATAGTTATATGGAAGCATCCTCATATGGTGTACATTCAAAATTTGTTCAAATCATGATATGCCACTTGAACCCACTTTAGTATTTAAATTTTTCAATACTGAATTGATTTTTGCTTTTAGTTTTACATAGCCGGAGCTTAGGAGAGCGATATGGCCCCTGGGCCTCTTGTTACAGTTATCAATAATTCTCAGCATGAGCTTTGTTTAAAAGTTAAACATTTTGTTTCACTTGAAGGTTACAAAACCTTTTAATTTTTTTCTGCATGGTTATTAATTTAATAGAAAAAAATATTTTCAGAATGAATTTTTTCTTCTCATCAAAAGAATCAATTTACTATTTAATTCTCAAAATGAAGATATTCATTTGGAAGGCGACTCGTGTTGTAAATGATTGTATGAAAGCAAGCGAAGAGTTGTCCTTCTTCACTTATGTTCCAGACAAAAGAAATCGAATATGTCCATTTATTTTTTCAAAGTATACAACTTTTTCTCATTACTTTAATACTATTTCTTCTCTCTGGCATCTGATGTCAATTATGATAAAGACTTTGCCTTGTTGTCCAATGTTGTCTGCCACTACGTCGTGGTTCTTGTTGTCATTATAAGAAGAATATTGGGCTCGAGATAATGAACAGTAATCAATGTCAAAGTCCATAAAAGAATAAAAATAGGAGCACCGAAACATCAGATGTGGGATCAGGTGCCATGGAGGCGTGAGCATCCCTTGCTGATCGGTCACACCGGACGTGTGCTTCTTATCTTGATCGTGAAATAACGGGAAAATCCGTCATCAATTCAGTGTATAAATTGACTAACAATTAGTATGAAAAACCCCAGTCAGCATTTCATCATGATAGTGTATTTGCTGACAAGGTCATTGTATCGACCAAAGAATTTACGAAATGATGACGTTAAACGAGACTGTTGATATTCTTGTTTCATCAACTTGTTTGTCAATAATTTACCTCGTTTTAGAAATTGTTCATACGTAGAGCATGCGCATATCGAATCAACTGAGATATATACGAGGGGTGATCAAAAAATTCGCGAACTAATTGAATAATTTCCATAAAAGAAATAATATTTGGTTTCAGTGTTGATTATATTTTAAATAAATCCTCTCTGATTTCAATGAACATCAACAACCGTTTTGCGCATGCGCGAATCACGTGATATTGGCGGTCACGTGACCCCCTCCGTAGCGTTCTGTCACAATTGTGGATAAGAGATGGGTACCCCGAAGCGTTACAGATGAACGGACATACCGATTACTGTATACCCTCCTGCTTTTCAAGTTGGGGTATGATAAAACAATAATAACGAGCTATTTCAACACCCATATTACATTGTCTAGAAAGGAAACGACAACAATCCTAGGCTGCCCTCAACATCCTCCATTCCAACCTTGACTAATTCCTGTCGTTTTTTCCTTCCAAAATGTTTTTCCTCTTTATTTTTAACGTACTTAAGTAAGTAAGTACGTAAGTTATTGAAGATAAAAGGATGTACTAATTATCTTAAGTAGGATATCTGAATGAATGTTATTCTACTCCCAATTATATTTTTGTTTGGTAAATAATGTCAAAGCCCCTACTACCATAACTTTAACCTCTTTTGATGTTGTCATATCTACAGTGTATTATCAATTCCTACCTCCGTACATAACGCAGGTTCAAAAGTCCAAGTCAGCCGTCAACTGTAAAAGTCAGAGTCTTTGCAAAAGTCCAATAGGGCTCATATATGGCATATTGGCATATTTGCTTACTGGTTAGTGTAAGAAGCGTAAATTCTAAATCCGCTTTTATATTTGTCATCATATTTATAAAATGCACACTTTCAAATGCCTCTTTATAGGGAAAAACCCAATACAAACATCTTTCTAAAATTTAAGAATAATATACATGTATATATCATGTACAATCTCTAATGTGAAATTGTGACAGTATTTTGTATTATACTTTGTGTAATTCCTTGAAATATTTTTACTTGTAAGAACACTCTTTTGTGTACAAATGGGTTTGAAATTCCATTACCACAAGCCAAGAGCCCAAATGAAATACTAGTAATTAACTGGTTGAAATTTGTCTGTTGTTCGTAGTCGTTATTGTTGTTGTTATTGTAAACTATTCACATTTTCATCTTCTTCTCAAGACCCACTCGGCCAATTTTAACCAAGCTTGCCATAAAGTATACTTGGGACTTAAAAGTATATGTAATGATAAAAAAAGAACTCAATTGTGGTAAAAGGAACTTAAGTGTTTTAAATCAAGGGTAATGTCTTATTTTAAGGGAAAATAATTAAGATTCCATTATAAATTAATGGCATTTGAAAAAAAAAAACCAAGAACCACTATACTTAAAAAAATTAAACTATGTTATCGTAGAGAGATAGTGTTCATTTAAATTTGTTCATATCATGACCTTGTGGGTAAGGCGGGGTCACATTGTTGGATTAAAGTTTTATATAGGAAGAAAGGAAAGAAACCTAATTAACAATTTTCAAAACAAAAAGGACACGCTAAAGATTATTCATATTGTATGGCAACCTCTGATGTAGTTTAAGTTCATATATGTTCAAATCATTATCTTCAGGAAAGAGAAGGGCAGCAATGGGCAATATAATCAACATTTTACACCGGAATATATTGGAAAGCATTTGATATTTTTTTCAAGAACAGCAAAACCATGTTAGGTAATATACATATGGACGGATCCTTAGGTATTGTAGATTCTTTTTTTATACAAATCATGACTCCTGATGGGAGGGTTCGGAAATATTTGGCGATCTAAGTTTAACATAAAAATATTTAGTAAAAACGTATAAAAACCTTCTTCTCTAAAACAGAAAAGCCATAATATAAGTCATATTTATATTTAAATATCCTCAGGCAGTAGAGATTCAAATTTGCTCAAATCTTGCCTGATGGATGTAAGCTATGGGCAAAATGGGGATTAAAGTTTCAAATTAACACAGAAATACATAAGAAAAATCTTTTAAAATCTTTTTCCCGAGAACATAAAAGCTACGGTTAGTCAATGGATGATGTGACATTATTGCTATCTTGGACCCCTTTTTCCACGACGAATTATATTTAATCTATGACGATGTTGTTAGTTTTCAAACATGAGTGAATAAATACGACGCCTTTTGAATAGTTTCAATGGTTCAGACACATTTTAATTATAAGGAATACTGCATTATCTTTGATTTTTTAGACCCTATCACAGCTAAATTCGGCCAGGTTTGTGAGAATATTTTCTTTCATGGCAAGAGAATGGGCAGGTCTTAGTACAATAGAGGGATATGCGCGTCCGAGAAGACCTTATATGGCTATTGTTATTACTTCGCACTTAGTCATTGTCCAATCCGAGGACAGAACAACAAAACATGCTGGTTTACTACTTGTACATTTTATAGCAGACAATTGGTTTAGGTAAATTTACCTGTTATCCTTTTCTACATTTCAAACTTTTATAATGGTCAGCTAATGCTGTTTATACTTAAAAATGCGCATGGATTTTCAGCATTTACTGTTTTAGTACACGAAATTCATATGAAACTTGTATTCACCGATACTCGGGAATACGTGTAGACCTAGCGAATTGCTCACCAAACACGCTACAATACTTAAATGTATATCATGTACACGTATTCCATCAATTGTTTGTAACTGTATATAAATTTTACAGTGGTCTCGGAAATGGTACATAGATCCGTGTCTAATCTGTGTCTCAAATGCATAAAAAATTATCGGAAAGCAGTAAAATTCCAAGCAAGTTTCCGTAGTATTTTTGTGGTACTCACTCGTAACGAATTTCATTTAGCTGATTGGTCAGTTAGAAAATATCGCCTGTGCCTTGATTAACATATGAATTCATTCTTGCGTCAGAAAATCTAGTTCCGTCGATCTGTTTATAATGGGAAAGGCCAACTAGATTTTTCAATTATTTTAAAAAAATAGCATGTGAGCGCAGTAAGGTACAATTTTCTCCTTTCACATATAGGTAGATTTCAATAAAATACAGTGACCAGCCAAAGGAGAAAATTGTACCTATCTGCGCTCGTATATTTTAAGGGCTTCAAAAAGTGGGGCGGGGTTAAAATGCAATGGGAATTGAATGTAAACATGATACCCCTACCCCAATAAAAGATTTATATCTTTCAAATCACGTTGCTATTTTTGTTTAATTAAAATAGTACTCTATAAAAGTACACATATCAGTAATTAGTTACATACAAAAATTTTAGTAAAAATTTGACATTTATTTTTCTGTCAGTATACGAGGGGCCGCAAGTCACCTCATCCTTTGTTTGGAAGTATTTTCAAGTAGTGTATATTAATGATTGTTTAAATCCTGATTTGGAGGGGGCAGGGGGCAGCAATGTGCGATAAAAGTTTCATATAGAAATACATAGAAAAAATGATAAAATCTCAAAAATTGCATAACAGTGGTTGGTCATATTTAAACTGTTTGATACAAAACGAGTATTTTTCTGAATGTTACAAGCCAACGTTTTCTGGTGATAGATGTGACTCTTAAGTCTCTTGTTTAGCTTTATGATAGTTGCCATGTTTCTTCTATATTTAGATATTGGACATTTGATTTAAAGTAAGATTTTATTTATTTACTTTAACCTTTCCTTCGATTTTGTTTTTTAACTTAGACCTTTATGTAGAATCATTGCTGCGAACATGGAAGTATGAATACACTAGAGGCAAAAATTCTTTATTTAGTACGTCGTGTAACCTTTATGTTCTATTTAAGATTTTTTTGAAAATGTCCGAGAATAACTAGTATTAAATCAACGCACTGTACTTTATTATAGTTTGAACAAAATTGCTCAATCTTCTACCACATGAAGATAAAATACAATGAAAAGCCACATGGAATGCTAATCATAATTTATTTAGGGATACTTTTATCAATAATACATACAAAGGTTACAAATTAATGCCAAAAAGAATTATCTCCTCGTTACGTGTACATGAAATTATGTTAGTCCACTGTTCATCAGTAGTGTTGGGGAAGCCACCTATCATTTGATGTTTCATCTCTAGTTTCCATCTAAATAAAAAAATATTCATACTACATATAAAGGTTCAAGAAGTTTCAAATACAAAGTCACACAATATAAAATGTAGTAACTATATAATTTATCTTAAGGTTAAATTTTCTGAGGATATCCTTATACTTACTCTTTTATGTTCTTCTTTGAGACCGTTTGCCAGATCCTAGGGAATACAAAAGTATAAAGAAAAGATAGATAAGGGGAAAAAGGTAACCAAAAAGATTACAAGCAGCTAATAAAGGAACCTTATGCTCTATGTTTGTTCAAATCCAAATAAGTGATTTTTGTTGTTTCATGAATTTTTTTCTTTTTTAAATATGTCAATAAGAAAACAGAAAAGTATGTAGTTTCATAGATGAAATTCAATAATTTATGTATTCGACATATACCGAATGAATTTGAACAATTTTGATTAATTAAAAACCAGTTAAAAATACATTGCTAGATAAAAATGAGAATAAAATGAACCCAATTCACAGAACTAAAAACAAATATGAGGCTGATCATTTTATACCTTGAAAAGTTTTGAAGAGTTGTCTGCCCTTATTGAAAAAAAGGAATCTCATGTTCACTTTTTTTTTCAAAATATCTATGGTAAATGTTTCATTTTAATTCAAATTTTGATAAAAAGAGAGTTAATGCATACATGCACCATGACGACTGCATGCAATTCAAGTTACATTTTTTTTCATTATCTTAATAAAACATGCTCTGCCCGTAGACCTCAATATCAAAATCAAAGTGCATTTAAATGAATAATAACTTGAATTTTGCTATTTCCTCTAATGGAGTATGTTTATTTTATGATAAATCTAAGTGTACCATGATTAATCGCTTCGGACCATTCATTTATAAGGTTCAAAATATGGTCATTATATATTGAATATATTAAACCAATTTTTATGAGGAATTGATTATTAAAGGTTCCAAATGTGTTTGCTCTATTTAGCATAATAATTTAAGTTATATATACATGTAATGATAGATATATTATATCAATGGAATTATGAGGAATGATTGAGCTTCTTAAATGTTATAAAGTTTTGGATTTTAAATGTAGTAGTGCTGGTAAAAATCAAATGATGTTATAAGATCAATACTTTCTTACCCTTTCCTGTACGTACCTCGCGAGAACAACGACAATGACAGTGTCTGTTATGACAAACACAAACACAGCCTTTGGTCTCCCCCACTCGGACCAGACAATAAAGGGTCAACAGGAAAACCAAGAAAACCACGCTTCTCATCTATTTGAATATCAATTAAATACTATAATAAACACAATAAAGATTGCAAAATAAATTTTATATGTAGATTTAAAAAGAAATGTTTAGATAGAAAGTCCTAAGTACGTACCTTTTGAACTTCGTCTAAAATTCAATTTTTCAATAGCATACAGCTCCTTATTTATATTTTTTGTGCCCTAGTGACATCTGGGAAATAAATAGTATTCCTGACAAATATAACCTTGAAGCGTTTGAAATTAAAAGGTTAATTACATTAAAATGTAAATTTATACTTTAAAGGAATACAGGGTGAATGAAAACCGACTTTAGTTTTAGAACATTAACAATACTAAAACAGTCATTCATGTTTTCGCAACAGCTTCAGTGTAATATAATTTGTTTGCATCTATATTCTAAATTGAACGTGCAAAGGAATATTTTATAAGCTTTTTAAATTGTCCATTCAAATAAGGGTATTTTCTACCCCTCCGTTTATACCTAATAGATATGTACATACATATATTTTTGTACATCTTATCAAGATGGAAATTGACACTTCTTTCCTCTGTGTTACAGTTACTATGTTTATAACTTATAGAACTTTAGCACTTTAACAATTTGGACATAATGCCATTTAAAAACTGTGCATGTACTGGATTTTTGTTTGTTGTTTAACGACCATTACATCAAGTTTTTTTTATTTATACTAAGACATTAGGCCTACTAAACTACAGCTTAAGTCGGCGACATTTAGGTCTTTTACTCGGACTTAGCAAATGAAGGATTTCTTTATTCATACATTTATTGCTTGTTCCAATCTACCACAAAATCTCAGAACTGTGTCCCATTATAATAATAACTATTTTTGTAAGGCAGAATTATTTTTTTTAAGTTTTCAACTCAAATATATGAGTGTCCTTGTTTGTTTTGTTTTGTTTTTTTTGTCCCAGTAAGTGTTCCGTTTTTAAACCATCTATACATCCACATTGTTTTACCCGCATAGAATTAAAATATCGATTAAATATTCCATTACCCTATTAAAAACACTTGACAGAAAAAGATATATTTCTTTGATTAATTTTCATAATTGAAATGGAATGGACGAAATAGTTGGTCGATGAAATTTTAATCGGAGCTACAGCAACGTGATTTATTGAGTATTTTGTATTCACATAGTCACCTGAGCTTACAGATTAAGTGATAAATTGAAAACTCAAATTGCAGGTTACAATGAGGTCAATGACATGTAAATACCCGTACATAGTGAAAAAAAAAACAACTGTCGGCGTTTTGTATCTTTTTGAAAATAGTCTACTCCGCGCGCAGGCTTGCCCCAAATTCTCCCGTTATTGTTGAATTTCAAACCATTTTACACCTACTGTCCTTTTCAGAAATTTGGGCAAGAATGCGCTCACTACATGTTTTTTTTTAATATCCAATTTTATAAGTTAGAAAATGTATTCTGGTATCAAAGAATACAAATAAGGACATTCTGGGCTTTTCAAAGAGATCATTTAATTCTTTTGAAGCGACAGAACAAATATTTTGGCATATTTGATGAAATATTTTTTCTATAACCCCTCTTCTTATAATAAAATTCTTGAATGAAAATAAAAAAATATTCAATTTAAAAACGTGATTAGATTCCATGCAAATAGATGTAGGATTAAACAAGGTCATGGCTGAGATGTTTAGAGAAATGATTTTTTTTTCTTTTTTGAAGCATTAACAGTACCGTTAAATTAATAGAACAAAAAAGTATCAGTCTCAAGGAGTAGAAGGCAAAAGACAAATATTATTGATTGGTTGATTAATTGTGTATTGTTTAACGTCCCTTCCGAGATTTTTTCTCTTCAAAAAACTATTGAGAATCAAAACAATTAAGTACTTCTAGTATTAGTCTTGTTCAAAGTTACAGGTTTGCTGAACTCTCTTTATTTTAGGAGACGGAACTGTAGTTGTATACCCTAGCATCAATTGATATACAGTCATGTATTTCTAGTTCTGTAGAACAAGGACATCTATTTTTCATTGCCAGCTCGATAATATAAGAAAGAAAAACAATCTATGTAACATACTGTAGGATGTCCATGTAAATTTACACGTATTGTCTTATTTAAATATAGAAGGATATGAAATCTGAGTTCATAATAAAAAATTCAAGTAATAGATTAAAACTATAAAATGAAAATTATTGTTCATTAAAAGGAATTTGGCAAAACTTTAACTAAAACAGTTCTGTAAAAAACATTTTCTCCTTATATTCTTTTACGCTACGAGTAACATCTGGTAAATTAACCAAAAAATAAGTGAGTCCTCGTGTTAAAATTGCCTTCTAATGATAAAAATAAAGTGTTAGTCATATAAAAGGGTAAATAAATACTTATCATACTTATCATATGATGGCTAAAAACTTTAATTGATAACGAAAAACAGAAAACAGTGTGATTAAAATGCCGTGTTTGTCCCCACAGCAATATGAAAGTGAAGGTGAAATGGCCCAAGCTGGTCGTAGTTAACGAGAGTTCTGTATGACTTTATTTAACTTAAACCCTTTATATTTAATGCCCGAAAAACCTACAAAGCATACCTAAATGCCTTTTAACAATTAGAAATTGCTAGATTTTCAACACACACAACAAAATCATCCTAGAATTTATCACGTAATATCAATGGAAACGGAACCGGAAGTGTCTTCCCCTCAATGTCAAACTGGAGAAATGGAGAATACTGTATATGGGGAAAATAACTCGCCGTGTTAATATTCGCTATATTCACGGTGTTAATAAATCCGTGAATTCAAGAAACACTGAATAAATTTTCAATATTTGGAAAATTGAAAATAAACTACGATAACATAGGCTTCTATACATGTTCGTGCGGTACATAATCATTTCAGTAATTACGAGCAATTACGCAATCTTATTAAAATACTGACAGGAGATGTTTTACAAAATACTCTATAAAGGAGTTCTTTTCAGGTAAGTTTAATTTTACACCCCGACCCTTTCAAAATCGTTTCTACGCCACTGCTATGACTGCAATTTTCGTGAACAAGAGATTTTATGAACATGAATAAATCAAATTGTATAAATAATGGTGGATTGAATTCATAAATATATACTGTTAATAAATTTGTGCATTTAAAGTGATTTAATCTCAAATAAAAAATGTAATAGGTTTTCTGTGCCGTTTTCCGTTCCTCGTTTTAGCAACACCCCTCCAGAACCTGTATCATTTTTCATTATTTTATCCATTTCAATACTAGTATGTAAATTGTGGGGAGGTGGATAGGGTTAAACGATTAGGTACTAGATACACTCATATATTTCATATCCTGACCGTGAAAATGAATTTATTAATCCTTTCTCGACTAACACGCCCCCTCCCCCAACTGTTTTCAGTGGATACATATAACATATTAAAAAAATCATTTATCTTCAAAATAAAACTCTGTCTGCAATGGTATTTATAATACCATTATGGTTATTCAGAATAATACCAAGTATTAATTTACAAAGCCTATACAATTTTATTAATAATGTTATGAAAATAATTTTGACAAAATTTGATCCCCCCCAATTTGAATGAATATGAATCTAGTCTTATATCATGTTTATAGATGTTAAATTCAAGCCGGTTTTAAATGTTTACCATTTTGTACTGCAAAATGGCATAAGTTTTGGCTGCAGTAACGACTCATGTTTTCTTTTTTTTTGGGGGGGGGGGGGGTGTAGTACCCTCCCCCGAATAATTCTGCCAATATATATCGTGGAGGGTCCTTTATCGGTGGGGTACCTAAATCGGTGGCATCTCCTTTTGAGCTGATGATTTTTAATGGGAGATCTGACTCTAAACGAATAAATGAATCTCTATATGAATGTTACGTAACTAAGTAGTTTAAAGTGTGTAATGTAAAATTAAAAATATGCCTAGGGATGACGGTGTTTGGTTAACTCAAAAACACACTAAATTTATGAAACGTAAACAATTTACATGTAAGTTGTAATTACCAATTATTTTTGAATTTGTTGAAAGTATGCAATCAAATACTTGTATGTATTCTTATATTTTCTCAACTGATGACAAAACAAGTTGCTAAGACACTAAGAAAACAACATATGTTTATATTGAAAATATATAATTTTAGTTAGTCAGTCCTCCATGATTTTTCCCCTCGCTTATTTCATTATGACATGTTTCATATGTGTTTTTCTTTTTTCTCTTCCTTTTCATATTCTGATTATGTATATCATATACTTGTACCTCTGACCTGAATTTATATGTTGCAAGTATTCTTCATTGTCCTCATGTACCTGAAATGGTTTGAGTGAATAAAATGATCTTGAACTTGAGCAGGGCCATGTGCCTTAAACAAAATATCAATTACATATATCTTATAAAAATATCTGTTATTATTTGATTTAATTTTCTATTCAATCATACTTGTTAGGAAAAATTTTGTAACTGTTAATTACCACAAAATTATCACAAAATACATGCAGATACCTCGAGGACAGAATATTATAGAAAACATAGCTACTACATGTATTTGCTTGTTCCCCAAATAAAAAAAAAAAACATCTGATGACCTTTCACTTTTTTCTTTCTTACATTCAAATATCTTAAAATAAGTTTTCCCTCTTTCATAGTGCAATAATGCTCCACAACAACTCCCTAAGTGAAGAAAAAAATGATCATACATGATTTTCTTCTTTTCATATTGACATACCTGTCACTTTTTACCCAATAATACTAAAGAGTTCCAACAAGGGGAGATAACAATTTAACTCCAGCAAATTGGTAACAAGGGCCTATAATAAGCAAAAGAAAGTTAAATGCAGTATCCAAATCAGTTATTCCTATTCTAAAAAAGATATTAGATTAATAATCT